CTTTTTCACTGAGTTCCCATTTCCATTAATTCTTCTTCCCTGTCCCTTCTGGTCTTCTGAATTTCTGAACTTGTTTGTAGGTAAATGCTTCCCTTTTGGTCTTTAATTGTCAATTATTCTGATGAGTATGTTCCTCTTGAGTGTTATTATTCATTTTATAGGTCTGTTGATTGCTTGGTTAAAAGGTAATTGCTGGGGATAGATTCATTTCCAGGTTGAAGGATACTGAAAGGGTTATAATCTTGGAAGTTCTTCTAGTCTGCATCAGAGCAGGAAGTCTGGTCTTTGTTTATTAGTTTCCATTTGGTCTCACATTTTTCTCCCACTCTATCCAGGACCTACTATTATAGTCTCTATAACAGTAGTTAGTAGTGGAAGCTGGCAACCATCTAGTTCTGTTCTCAAAGTAGGAGAGGCTGAAAATGGAGATGGTCCATTCATTACTCCTTTGAATAGGTTGTTTTCTTTAGCCTTTCATTTTCTTCACTGTTCTTTGCTTCTGACAGGAAGGAACCCATGTTGTTGTTATGAGCCACCCAGTCACCTGCGATTCATAGTGGACTACAGCTCTAAACCCTACTCTATCCTGTGCCAATCTCACAGTCCCTGACACACCTACCCCAATCACCCCAGTCACTGAATCAATCCATTTCATTGAGGGTCTTCCTATCCTTTGCTGTCCCTCCACCCTCCCAAGCATCACGTACCTCTACAAGGACTGGTCCCTCCTTGAAACATGTCCAAAGTATATCAGATGAAGCTTGAGAATTCTTGCCTTTAAGGAGCAGCCTGGCTTTCACCCTCTCCTGAACAAACCTGTTTGTTTTCTTAGCAGTCCATGGTATATTCAATACTCTTCTCCAACATCACAGCTCAAAGGCATCAATTCTCCTTCTATCCTCCGTAGTCATTGTCCAGCTCTCTGATGCATAACAAGTGATTGCAAAGACCATGGCATACATCAGGCATACACCTTAGTCTCTAGACTGACATCATTGCTCTTCAGTACTTTAGAGAGGTCTCTAACTGCAGACTTTACTATCGCAATACATCTCTTAATTTCCTGGCTGCTGGTGCCAAGAGTGTTGACTGTGGAGCCCAGCAAACTAAAAAAGTTAACAATCTCAATCTCTTCACCATCAATCATGATGCTGTCAGTCAGCCCAGTGTTGAGAACCTTTTTTTTTTCTTGATATTGAGCCTCAATAGTTATATCTTTTCTGGACCTATATAATTGTGATTAGTTACTGTTAAATTATTTTGACTTATGGCAACTCCATTTGTATGGAACAGGACTTTTTTCCTAGGGTTTTCAAGACTGAATGATTATAAGAGCATACCTGGGTGGATTTTAATCAGCAACATTTTCTCTAGTAGTGGAGCACCTAACTTTTTGTGCCACCCAAGGAAAACTTGATATAATTAAGACCTTATTATATGAAACCCATACTTGGACCAAGAAGCAGTCCTCAGAACAGAGCAAGCAAACACTGCATGGTTCAAAATCAGGAAACGAGTGTGGCAGGGATGAATCCTGTCCCCTTATCTTTTCAATCTTTATGCAAAACAGATCATTCAGGAAGCAGGGCTTTATGAGGAGGAGTGTGGTATCAAGATTGGAGGAAGACTCATTAACAACCTACGATATGCAGATGACACAACCTTGCTTGCTGAAACTGAAGAAGACCTGAGGCACTTGCTGCAAAAGGTCGAGAACTCTAGTCTTTAATATGGACTGAAGCTCAAAATCAAGATGACAAAGATTCTCACCACTGGGCCAATTGGCATCACCATAATAGATGGAGAAGAGATTGAGTTTGTTAGCAATTACAGCTTGATCGACTCCAATCAGTATTCTTTTTTTTCCCCCAATCAGTATTCTTAACATCAGAAGTCAGGAAATCAAAAGACAAATGCATTGGAAAAAATCTTCTGTCATGGACATCTTCAGACTGCTGAAGAGCAACGATGTCAATCTAGAGACAAAGGTGTGCCTAGTCCAGGCCATGGTCCTCTCAGTTATTTGTTATGATTCAGAGAGTTGGACAATGAATAAGGATGACAGAAGAAGAATGCATACCTTCGAATTGCGGTGCTAGAGAAGAGTCTTGAACATACCATGGACTGCCAAGAAAACAAATCTGTCTGTCTTGGAGAGGGTGAAATCAAGTCTCTCCTTAGAGGGTAGGATTTTGAAGCTCTGTCTCACTTATTTTAGGCACGTGGCCAGGAGAGATTGGTCCTTGGAGAAAGATATCACGCTCAGAAGGGTAAATGGACAGCGCAGGAGAGGAAGACCCCCAATGAGATTAATTGATACAGAAAAAAGGCAATGGGAGTTAGTGTGTTGGAATTAATGAGACTGGCTCAGGACAGGGAAGGTTTCAGAGCTGCTGTACATAGGGTCTCTATGCATCACAGGTGACTCAGTAGCACATAACAACAATAGCATACTATGACAGGTTTGGAAGCAGGAATGGCATCCACTTTCTAAACAACATGCCTCCAGAAACTCTATGAACTTTGATAAATGTCAATGGTTGTAGAGGGGCTTCAGGCCTTTTGTTCAAGGGGTCACTCACTATGAGTCTTGCTCAATTCGAAGGCAATCAACAACAACAAAGGCTCTAAGTAAGAAGATTCATGAGCATTCTGATCAGTGAGAGACTTCAATGCACTTGATCTTCTGTTTTGGGACAAGAAATATCAGTGTTGGGATCAGTCCCAGACCTTGTCATGTGATGTTTGATTAGCAGCACAAAACACTACTGCTAAGCTACCAGAGCTCCTATTTGCATCTTTATTCCTATAAAGATATTGTGGCCATAAATATTAGGAGACATGATGGTGTAGTCATTTAAACACTTGACTTAAATGACTTGGCTTAAACTTGTTGCCACCTTGGCAAAAAGTTGGTATTTTAAATCCATCAGCTGCTGTGTGGGAGAAAAATGTGGCAGTCTGCTTCTGTAATGATTACAGCCTTGGAAACTCTATGGGGGAAGTTTTACTTTGCCCTAAAAGGCCATTGAGTCACAATCAGCTTGATGGTAACAAGTTATAATTATCAGTACAGTGCTTTCTTGAAGCAACTTGACGGTCTGGACTCGGCCTTTTCACTTGTGAGACTGGCCTAAAGTCAGTGGAAAAAAATACGGAATTGCAAGTAGAAACAGAATTGAACAGATTTTAATTAGAATATATGAAGTTGCCTTCTAATAAGTATCTTGAGTAAAATATCTCAGTCACAAAAGGACAGATACTGCATAACACCACTGTTATAAAGCAGGTCAGACATGGAGGGTTGGGAAGAGAATAGGATAAGAGTGGATAGATAATGAAAATTGCATTGGAACAGAAAAAAGAAAGAATTGTTTAAAAGGAATACATGATCAGGCATTATACATACAACAAGAGCCCAGAATAAGAGGTACATTGGGAAGAGGACTGGGAAGGGAGCAGGTAGGTAATTGTGCAACAATGAATCAATATAAAAAAAAAAAGTGAACTGGAGGAGGGGAAAGAGAGGAGAGGAGCTAAAATGTACAACAATGAATGAATGAAAATCTAATTTTCCATAAACTTTAAAATCACAATTAAAATAAAAAAATTTATATGTAAAAAACAATATAATAGGTTGCATGAATCCACAAACTTGGTATCAGAGGAAGGAGTAGTAGATTGAATTATATTGAATGGATTCTTATTTCTCATCTTCCTAATTAGTTGTTATGTACCACCTAGTGGGAATCAACTCGTAGCTGAACACCCAGCCAGTTTTCAGAGACAGCAAACGGCACAGGAAGAGATCACCCATCTTTCTTCTGTAAAACAGGACTATATACAATCCTCCTGGCATAAGAACTAAGGAGTTACACTGCCAAACGAAAGGCAGGCAGTTCGAATCCACCAGCTGCTCTGTGGGAGAAGGACGGGCAGCTCTTCCCATGCAATTTACTGCCTCTGAAAACCCTCTGGTGGGTCAGCTACGAGTTGGTTCTAATTTAGTGACAATGATTGAGGGAGACTTGAAATTAATCCTATAGCAATGGAACCAAGCAATAACTTTACTATTCTTTAAGTTCACTAAGGTTGACTTTTGAAAGCAAGCATATTTTGACAGTGTTTTTTGTTCTCTTCTTTGCAGGTCACTATGTCCATGACATTTGTATCTATGGAAATGGAGACTTGAAGTGGCTAATTGACTCACCCAGCCTGTTCGCTAATAAGTTTGAGCTGAACACTTACCCCCTGACAGTGGAATGCCTAGAACTGAGGCTTCGAGAAAGAACCCTAAATCAGAGTGAAATTGCAATACAGCCCAGCTGGTATTTCTGATTGCTGTAATTCACACCCATTTGGGAAGAAAAGCTTTTCATCATGAAAGAGTTTTGCCTTTTTTGTGTGAACAATTTGAAGACCACGTTATGGTGTTGGGTCCTGGCTACATGATTATGCTTTGAAGTATCCACAGTCTACTGTGAAATACGCAAACAGGATGATTGGTTGGGGCAGTCCTGGCTCTTTAACAATTTGGTGATTTCTTGATATACGCATCTCCCCATTTGCTCTCCTAGAGATCATCATATGAATCTCACTGTCATCAGAACTTTGTACCAGATGTTCAACGTATATGCATGTTCTAATTGAAAGGATTATTGTTTGGGGAAATTTTACTTGGGAAAACAAGAACTGGGTTTCTCTGAAGAGGGAATCTTTTGTTGTTGAACTGCAGCCATACTCTAATACATATAAAAACCTCATGTCTTTACTTGACCACACATAGGCCTAGGGACAGCTTTCTAGGTACTCACAAATCTCCTTTAAATATCTAGATAATAGAATTGAGAACCAAGCTTGTTCCTGAGTTTTGGCACTAATGTCTTGGCTCAGCTTGTGTCTGTTGTTACCATCACTAGCTGCCATCAAGTTGATCCCAACTCATGGAAGCCCCATTATGCAGAGCACTAGCCCCAGAGAGTTTTCTAAGCAGGGACCGTCCAGAAGCAGATCACTAGACCTATCTTCTAAGGCACTAATGAGTGGATTCAAACTGCCAACCTTCAGCAAGAAGATAGACACTCAAGTTTGTGCATAGTAGTATAAATTCATTAACACAGGGTAGGATGTGCTCTAAGACACAAGTCAATGCTTGCTTGCTTCCTTTGGCAAAAGGATTTCTGGGAAACACCACATGTCTCTATTATACCAAGAATTGCTCTGATCCCTTTTCTATAATTTGCCATTGGGAACTGAAAAGACCTTGCAAGAATGAAGATATTTCTAGAAAGAAGTGCTGCTGCATGGACATGGGATAGGAATGGGGTCTCTTAACACATCAGAGTGCATCACTTCCTCTTCTGTGACTCTTTTCCCATTTACCTGAAAAATCTTAGCTGTACAGTGGAGACCCAAATTCTATCTCCAAGGCTTTTAACTAGTTGATAGTAGTCTCCCCATAGCTTTACAAAGCCAGATGCTTCCAGAGATGCCTCAATTTCTGACAGTTCTCAAATATAGATAAGCATCCCTATCACTTTGGCCTTGTCATTAGCCTCTATTCATTCCATCAATGTGCATTCAATAGTCATTCATGAGTGTCCTTTATGCACCAGATCCATGCTGAAACAAGCAAAAGGCAGCCACTGGCCACACAAAATACTTGGTTGTAGTGTCAGCATTGGAAAATCTTCTCTGGAGTATCTTGGTTGTATTTTGAAACATTCATGTCTTAAAGATGATTGCAATATTGGAAATGTAAATTGTGTTATCAGGACAAGGGAAATAAAAGAGAGGAAGAAAGGAGATAAGAAATAAAGCCCATTGTGTCCTGGAAATTGTGGTAGGCCCTTTGTATGTCTCACTCCAGCCTCACAAAAGTCTTGTGAGGTTCCCATCATTGCCCCATTTTACAGATGAAGTAACTGAGGCTTAGAGAGATCGGTAAGCATTAGGAAAACAGATTCCCTGTTTGGGAATTGGAGTTCTCTTACTGGTCTTCTCAGTTCATTATCTGGGGTGGAGTACCGAGAGGAGGTAGAATTAAGCCACGTGTAGTATTCCATAAAAGGCAGAGTTTGAGTGTCCTCTCAGTGTTCACACGGAGTTCTGTCACCTCAGAAAAACAGATGTCAACTTTAGTGTTCCCCTAGTCCATTGAGTTTCTAAATATTTGTTCTTAAAAAAATAATTATTGTAATTAATAACATTTTTCATGGATCTTTTCTTCCACTGTAACTGTTGAATGTTAATCATATTTAAAGGGAATGGTTGAAGTAAAGCAGAAATGTCACTGGGTGGTAAACAATTGAGAGTAAACAGAGAAATCTAAATATAGTAGCTTTTCAACTTACTGAAGAGATAATATCCTGTAAAGAAGAAATGTTTTACACTGGCCCTTTCTCATGCAGAATGAGAAATCTTTCTTGAATATATGTTTACATGTCTGTTGCTGGTTTATCTCTCCCATGTCTTCTTTATGATCATATGTTAAGATAGGGAGACTCCAATGTGTAGGCTGGAGGGTTCCTGCTAGCCTATGGGGCATACCCTGAAACTACTGTATCAGTTTTTGTCTTCAATGATGTTCTGTGTTTTGTTTTCTTGGGAATAAATTAATATATTGTTTTCCATTTTTTGGAATACTGGATATTTTCATTCACTAATTAGTTAAAATCCAGTAAAGGGCATGCATAACAAGATAATTCAAGCATTTCAAAAAACCCCATATATACATATGTATGTGCATATATATGTACACATGTACCTGCATACATATCTCTGAAGAACACCATCCACAGGAAAAGAATTATATTTTCAGAAAATATTAGGAAAGACCAGTTTCATTTTAATTCACTCCAACTATTTTGAAATGTAAAGAAAGAACAGAAAAGAAGGAAATATTTGCTATTTGTTTTTTCCTTTATTGTTGTTGTTCTGTGCCATAAAGTAGCCTGCAACTCATCACGACCCTATGTACAATAGCTCTAAAGTCTGCCCTATCCTGAGCCAATCTCACTGACTCTGACACACCTACTCCCATTGCCCAATCACTGTATCTATCAATCCATCTCATCTGGGGTCTTTCTTTCCTGTGCTATCACTCCACACTTCCGAGAATGATGTTCTTCTCCAAGGATTGGTCTCTCCTGGCCACATGTCCAAAGTATGTAAGATGGAGCTTCAAATCCTATCCTCCAAAGAGAAACTTGGTTTCAAGATATCAAGAGTCAATTTAGGAAAGACATGTTAATAGTACCATAAATGCTGTCAAATGTTAACATTTTTAAGCAGCATTTCTATGCTAAGTTAGTTAAACGAATACTGCCTCTACCAGATTTGACAAAGGATAACAGTGTTATTGTGTACCAAAGAGTCGGAACTGTTACATATCTGACCTTCCAGCTAAGTTTTCAGAGGCAGGCATTTAATCGCAAGGGATGAGATTACCCATCCTTCTCTCTCGGAGCAGCTGGACTGTAAGAACCATGTGCCTTTGGGATTGCAGCACAGCTTCTTATCACTAGGCCGGCAGAACTCTCATTCCTATTACTGTGTGGAAATTATTACATTCCTGGAAATTCTAGACCATAGATTGAGAATAAATCGGTACAATGCTGAAGTTCAATTCACTGTGAATGTCTTAAAACAATATAAGAGGACATTACAAATTATTCCAACTGTATTGAGTCCTAATTCCAATTTTAATAAAATAGTTAATGGCAAAGGTCTGATTTAGAGTTAGTTATACTGTTATCTGATTTCCTGAAATAAAACATACAGTCTCCTGCACAATCACATTTGGTATTTCATTAAGTAGAGATAACTTCTTATCTTCATATGGAGGATTAAAATAATGAAGCAGTAACTACCAAGCAGAACCAATTATAGCAATAAAATATGCTGTATTTAATCACAAAATGTTTAAATGGCTGCAAAATGACTCAAGATTACATTCTCTGGACCTCAAAACTACATGAAAATCCATGAAAAATGATTAATGCATATAATACAAACATTTTTATTTTGCTCAAGAATGTGCTGATTTTCTTCTCTTACAGTGTATTAACAAGTTCCATATTTTATGAAACAAAAAGTAATTTGCTTTAATGAATATTAAAGTTTTAAATATCTTCTGGTTAGCTCAAGGAGAATAGGTAGATATTATTTACTTATTTAAGAGTATTTGACCTAATGCCTCCCAAAAAACCCCCAACAAACCCAAAACAACAGAAACTGAAACCAAAACCAAACTTAAGATGGACAACAGAAGAGAAACTTTAGGATAATTTTAGAAAATAAACCAAACCAAATTCATTGCTGAAGAGCTGATTCAGATTAAGGCTGCCAATCTTAATGAGAGGAGATTTTCTTTCATGGAACCACCATTGCGTTCAAAACATCAGAGACTAGTGGTTTTTAATTATCAGTGCAACACTAAATACTATGCACCAGAACACCATAAAAAGCCCCAAACAAACAAAAACAGCAAGAAACGTAAAAGATACATACCATTTATTCTAAATAAAAAAATATTTTAAAATAAAATGGGGGGGGAACCCTCACCCAACCTTTGAAATGTTGGCCCTTTTACTGTTTGTCAAAGTGGTTCCAGTTCATAGTGACCCTGAGCACAGCCTCAGCATCTCTGCCGTGCATGAGTCCCTTGTTGCAGCTACTGATTCAATGCATCTTACTGAGTCTTACCCTGTTTTGCTGACCCTCTGCTTTACCAAATACGGTGTGTTTCTCTATGGACTGATCCTTCCTGGTAGCATCCAAAATTAATTACCATTATGCTGGCTTCATTTCTTCCAAGACATATTTATTCTTTTTTTTGATCCATGGTTGTTATTATGTGCCATTAAGTTGCTTGCCACTCATAGCGACCTTATGTACATTAGCTCTGAACTCTGCCCTATCCTGAGTCAATCTCATTGTCTCCCACAGATCTAACCCCATTTCTCTGGTTACTGAGACAATTAATCTCATCTAGGGTCTTCCTCTCCTGTGCTGTCCCTCGGCCCTCTGAACATGATGTCCTTCTCCAAGGATAGGTCCCTGCTGGCCATATGCCCAAAGTATGTGAGATGAAGTTAAAAATTCTTGTCTCTAGGGAGCAGCCTGGTTCAGCCTCTCTAGGATAGATCTGTTTGTTCTCTTGGCAGTCCATGGTATATTTAACACTCTTCTTGAGCACCATAACTCAAGGTATTGATCTTTTTCCTTTCATCCTTAGTTATTATCCAGCTCTTGGATGCATAGTAAGTATTTGTGAAGACCATGGCCTGGATAAGGCACACCTTAGTCTCCAGACTGACATCATTGCTTTTCAGTAT